GAGCATAAAGGAAAAGTAGGATGAGGGATTTAGATGGGTTTAAGTTGCAATTATGCAATTACACAAGGCAATGTGGTTCAGGGCAGGGAGAGGGGAAACAGGATACAGAAAGACAACTGCTGTCAATGGTAACCCAACAATTATGGCCTTTGTAAGGGGGGCACTGGGCCTCCAGGGCCTCAACACTGAATTAATAGTTTTAATTCAGGGCAGCAAATCTAATAACTTAAAATAGGATGGCAAAGAGTTATTTCAGTATTTCAGGCCCCCACAAACTCCACATAACTCTGCCCCACCTTCGTGATCTCTGACCTGTTGGCTTCAGTGGGTGAATGGGAATAAAGTGTGCTGGGGAGGGGACAGTCAGATTAACTTTCTTCCCCTGGCCCATCAAAGTCTTAAACAGACCTTTCAGACCATGATTTTCATATCAAAGCCCTTTTGAAAGTAAACAGGAGTGGGAGGATTTATTTCATTATCATGTACAGAATTGCTGGGAAGAACAATCTCTGTGGGCTTCGGGATTCTGCTCAATGAACTTATTAACATTAAACTCTGTTTTCTAGAGATTATTCACACTGTTATTTATTAGAGAAGCTGAAAGTAGATATTAGCCATGAACATGTAGCAACATAATGAATTCCGAAAAGATAATCTTTGTGACATTGAAAGGATCGGCTGAAGGGCAGAAACCAGAATACTGGGTCTCCTGTCCTAAGCCATAGGAGGAGAACAGAAATCTGTTTCCTGTGCCACTTTTTCTCATGCTGATCAGTTGGCCAGTGGGAAAAATAGGTGAGGCTTGGCACAACACCTTTTGTACCCAAGGTCTGCATGTGGTTGCCAGTTGCTCATTCATGATTTAGACCACTGTTTTTCAAATTTGGCAACTTTAAGATGTGTGGACTTCAACTCCCAGAATTCCCCAGTCAGTATGCTGGCTGAGGAATTCTGGGAGTTGAAATCCACACGTCTTAAAATTGCCAAGTTTGAAAAACACTGATTTAGACTAGTAATATACTGTAAGAAAGAAGGTGGGTTTGGTATTACAGTCTGCCTTTCCCTCCCTTAAAAAAACAAAACAAAACAAAAAAGGATCGGGTAGTAAAAACTGTTTTTTCCAAAGGTAAAGCAATGTGAGATGGGCAAAAATTACCTCTCCCCCCGCTTCCACCGAAACTGCCTACTGTTAAGTAGTGAAGTCCTGCAAAATCTGGGCACCCTCAGAAGCTGTAAAGCTGACATGGTCTTAATCTTCCAAATAGAAAACAGGTCTATTTATTTTGGGAACCCTGGAGGATGGCCATATGTCTTCCTTTGTGGGATGGCTGAGGCTGCTGGGAGATGTAGTTCAGTAATACTTAGAAAACTGCAGGTTCTATCTCTGGGCCAGATGTCCACATAATGTTAGGCACAAAATCTGGAACTATGTTAATGGATGAAGAGACCCAGTTCAAAGTCATGGAAAGTCACTCATAATGTACTTAGCTTGCTACTGAATTAGTCTAATTTTCTGGATTCACAAAACATATTGAATTAACCAAAAAGTTCATTCTTACCCTTTAAGTTAAAGTTAGCTTTGTGGAAGTGTTATTATTAAGTCCTTAACTGACTTGGTTACCAGCCACTGAGTAGCTTTGGGCCAGTCACCAACTCTTAGCCCCAACTTATTTGTTGGCTGCTGTTGTTGTTTCTTAGCTTTATATCCCACCGTTCATACAGAAGCTCAAGGTGGCTTAGAGAAGTCTTCCTCCTTCTATTTTCCCCCACAAGATCAACCTTGTGAGATAGGGTAGTCTGAGAGAGAGTGGGTGGTTGAGGGTGGAGTTTCCTACTCCTGGTCCAACACCTGTGCTCATGGGCTCTCTTATAACCTGTCTTATAGGGTTATTGTTGTGGGGAAACAAGGGAGAAAAGAAGTGCTGTGTATGTCACCTTGAGCTTCTATATAAAAGGGGGACATTAATTTAACAAAATAATCACAAATTTTAAAAAATGTATGGCATAACCTTGTTCCAGCATGGAAGTAGATGATAGAAATAGGTTGTCCCCACATTTTTTATCTGCCTTCCCTGTCTCACCAAGGGCAGCCAGCTATGTTATTTTGGACCTGAAGGCAGGTAACCCCCAGGCATCTCCTTCCCTCCCTGGCAGTAAAATACTAATTATTTAAATTGCAAACCACTGCCCCTCAACATCTCAAACCAGTCTGTTTCTGCTGAAAGTACTTCTCTTTGGGCCTTAGGAGGAAACAAACTACATTATTAAGCACCAGGCTAAAATATTCTGTACAGTCAAAAATATAGAATGTGCCAGAGAGGCCACTGGATCCGCTAGGGATCATCTTGGCTGGATGAGGAGGATGACTTCAGAGGGTCTCTTCATTCTGAAGTGGCTGCTTTCCACTTGATGA